TTTTAGTATTGGGCATTTTTAGAAGAGACTTTTATGTTTTTGTAGGAGCATTTTGGTCAGATTTCTCCCAATGGGTTTTGTATTACAATTGAGACCCTGTTACAGAAAAATTCTAACTCAAAACTACTTTTTTTATCATACCACTATTTTTACAGTCTACCTCAAACTGATTAGATTCATATACGTGCAATGAAAACATATTCACCACTAGATGGCCTCAGTGAGCATAGTATGGGGCTTAAAAAGCTTTGGAGAAACGAACCATTTTCAACACTTTGAATAGCCTTATCTCACCATCAAATGTTTTTTTTTTAAACCGTTTTACTATTTCTATGCTATTTTTTTAAAACTGATTTATATTGCATTGTAAGAAAATGCATACAAAAGTGAAACTTGCAAAAAAGATGCACTTATATATATATATATATAAAAAAAGATGTATTCATTTTGAATTATTTAATCAAAAACCTCAAAGCTCTTCTAAATGTTATAATGCAAAAGAGTTTTTTTTTTCATGTATGACCTGTTACAGTTTACCTGCAGCTGGACAGACATTGATATCATTTTTAAACATTGCAGTGTTTCTAGGTGAATTTGAGTAAGTTGCCAAAAGATAATTTATTTCTGTAAGTCGGTTGAAAATATATGCTTATGTTAATAAATTATGCATGAAAGATGCCTGAAAAAAAGTCAGTTTCTGTTTGTCTTCCTGATTAAAGAGAGCAAAAAAAAGAAAAAAGCTTTTTTTCAGAAAGAAAAAAAAACAGAATATTATGTTAAACAAATAAGAAGATAATGGAATGTAAAAATAGTATGGCCCATATACAAAACACATGGAAGAATGTTTTATTTCAGCTGCCCAGAAGACAATCTCCGATTCACGCCTAGGGAATGTATCTGAATTCCGACAGTCCCTGAACGCAGCGTCATTGACAAAATCAAATCGCCCTCTAGTGGAGAGGGGTGGTACTACCATGTCTTTTTGGTTAGAAGAGAAAAGAAACTGAAAGAATAAATAGTTCAGAATAGGGATCGTCGCTGGAAGGTAAGTTCACAGCGAGCTGCTATCTACTTGTAAATATATATAATTATGTTACTTTGAACGCTTCGAAATTTAATTTAAAGTTTACATAAAGTCAAATTGTTTGTGTGATTTTTACAAGTTTGATGTCAAATCTGAAAGGAGGCCTCCAGATTGCCTGTACAGTTCAACTACCTGCGCATTTAGTTATTGAGATTATGTAAACATGTTGATGAGTCATATATGTTTTTGTTGAGTGAAAGTCATCCACTTCTATAAAATGTTAAATATGTTTAATCTGTTAAATATCTAATATGTTGTGATGATTTCAGGGATTATTTTCACCATGTCATCAGACGAGGTGAGATTAATCTTGATCATGTCCATTAACTAACCACTCAGATACTTTCTCTTTCTTTATTGACTTTAATCCAACTTTCTGTACTGTTCTCCTTTATTCATCAAACATATCTATCAGGAATGTATGTTTATCCCACATGTTTGTATTCGCTTGTTTTTCTGACTTCCTGTTTGCTCCTGTCAGGACTTCTCCCTGGTTGTGACGTCAGGGCCAAATGAAGACACCATAGAGGGAGTCCAGGCTCTAATTAAAGAATACCAGGTGCTCATATGTAACTACCGCCCACAGTTAACTGCTGCTGCTCCTCTAATTTTGTTCTAGAATGTGTAAAATAATTTATAATAAATGCATCTTGCCTTGAAGTGTTTGAATCGCACACTGAAACATTTAAGTCTTAGAACATATTTGACATTTTTTATGACCCGTCCTCCAAATTGGAGAACATTTAACCGTCTTCTGTTCAGTTTTCTAGGGTTGGATGATACAGAGTGTTGGAAATGAGCATTTTTTTCCCTCTAAGTCCTGGATTTCCTGTTATGTCCTGTTAAGAGAAACAAGCCCACAGCATCACACACTCTCTGCCATACCTACCATTAGGCAGTAGTTGCTTTTCCACATGTTCGTATGTTGTTGTCTTCCCTACCAATATGGAGGAATAATTGCTTTAAAGCGATCAATTTCAGTTTAATCTGATCGAGGAGGAATGTTAAGAGTTTGAGCTGATTGGACAGAGAAGGCCTTTAATGAAGCACGGCTGTCGAACACACAGAAGATCTACAGATCATCTCTACTTTAGGTTTTCCCAAAATGGCACTCATCATGGCTGTTTTTTTTTTTTTTCTCTTGCATGTTGGAAAGATAAAATTAGACCCACAGCTTCTTGCCTTATTTGAATGTTCTGTTCTGAATAGAGGCTCAAAGAAACAGGTTTTTCACTTTCTGGGGAAACCATAGAGTTTTAATTAAAGGTTTGTAATCAGTCTGATGACCATAAATTTAAAACGGCTTCAGCTTTATTCATTTCATGCAAATAGTTACTGATTCTTTTTGAACGTTAGGAATTTGTTACTTAATGACGGAATGTTCTCCAGGTCCAGAGAGTAAAAACCCTGTAAAGAGATTACCATATTTTCGCGGCTATAAAGCGCATATAAACGTCTTTTTTTCCCCTCGAAATGTGCGGCGCGCCCTATGTGTGTTGTTACTGCGGACGTTGTTGAGACCACCATGAGAACGTTAAAGAGAGAAGCGTGGGCGTGGTTTGTGTATAAAAGAGCAGGTACGCGCTTTATGCGGAACATTGTTGTCTTAACAACCCTGAAAATGGCAAAGAGAAACGCCTATGAAGCACAGTTTAAACTGGAGGCTATCAGCTACGCAGAGGAACATGGAAATCGAGCAGCCGCGAGAGAATTCAAGATTAATGAATCGATGGTTCGCAAGTGGAGGAGGATGGAAAACCAACTCCGACAGGTGAAGAAGACGCAGCTGAGTTTCCGCGGACATAAAGCGAGGTGGCCCGAGTTGGAGGAAAGACTCGAGCGGTGGATCATCGAGCAAAGAATGAGTGGGGCCAGCGTTTCGACGGTCACTGTTCGACTAAAAGCAGTTATGCTAGCGGAAGAAATGAAAATTGAACATTTTTATTTTTAAATACACAGTAGAGGTATTTAAACGTAGTAGAGGATATGTACCGGTATATAAAAACCCGCGCCCTATAGTCCGGTGCGCCTTATGGTCGTGAAAATACGGTTCTGTCCGTATCCAGCTCTACATCACAGACTAGGAGCTAATCTCCTGGTTATGTGAACAGGAGGAAACAAAACAAGGCAGGATTTTTACTTTCTGGACTGGGATTACCCACCTCTGTTTTTCCTGCATTATTTAGTGTGTTATCAAGATACTGGAACAAAAGTTTATTTAAAGGCTGCTAACACATCTTTACTGGGAGGGAGGTGGGTTTAAAAAAAGGATGAAGTTTCCATTTTTAACCTCTTCATCTCTTATATTGAACAGATGGGTCTAAAACTTACATTTATTGAAGTTTTACACGTTCTGTAGATTCCTATGCTCTTTGTCAATGTTGTCATAGTAAAATGCAACTGTTTCTGTTTCTTCAGAAAAAGTATTCTGAGATCCTGGAGGAGGAGAAGGAGCTAAAGACCTCTATCAGCCAAAATCAGGATATGACCAAAAAGTTCAAGGAACGAACCCAGAAACTGACTAAGACTCTGACGTTGGAAGAGGCCTCCTACAAAGAACAGCTTGAAAATGAAAAGGTTGGTTTGTGTTTCTCTTTCAAGCTCCCACTTCTTTTTCAGAGTATTTTGCAGCACAGTCCAGAGAAATAAAACCAGCGTTTTGTTGGATATAAACCATAGGGATCCTGAAAGTTTCACAGAATCAAAATGAACAAAAGTTTTTCTTTTTATTGACAAAAAAAAGAAAATGTGTTTTCCTGTATGAGGCTTTAAGGAATGGTTCTGCAGTTATCGACAGGAAAGAGAAACATCCTCAGAACAAACCCAAAGGAGAACTTTTCCAGGCTATTTTCAGGTTTAATAGTTTTTAAAAAATGAATTGAAGGTTTTAGTTTAGCTTTATTTCTAGGATCATGCTGCGTTATGTCATGCTGTAAGCTGTAATAATAATAGTTGATAGAAAACTTAAAGACTGCTTTTCCCAGGCGGTTTCTGGCCGATCAGACTGAGCTTGAACTGTTCTGCAGAGGAACTGGTAAAGATTTCAGTCTCTAGATTTGGAAATGAGTTTAAGGCAGCATTCGTTCTGCTGTATTTATTAATATAGTGTAATAAAAATGTCACACTTCAACCTTTATACAGACAGGAATTATGAATCATTCAGGCTCTTTTAATCTACACTGAAGTGTTTGTGAATCATAAAATCCTCATAGAATACATTGAAGTGTGTTTTAAAGATCTAAAAGTACATTTAAGAGACATTATTACTTTTGTTTTGAACATGCAAGCCATCTGCTCACTGTCTGAACTTTAGGCCAGGCTGGCTGCTCTGAAGGAGGAGGAGGGCGAGCTGAAGGAGGAGCTGCAGAGATTCCAGAATGAAATAGAGGAGGAAGACTCCAGAAACAGCCACCTGATGGATCGGGCCGATGTAGGTGATGTTCAGGTTTAAACTTCAGCTTCTGCGATTCTCCTCTAAACACAGACTCTTTTATCGTAGGTGTTCGCCAAAATGCCAGAGAAGAAATTTGTCTTCTATGGAAAGACAGGAAATGCCAACGATAAGGAGGATTTTGAGATGAAGCCGCAGATCACTTACCCCATGGAGGAAGGAACGGCGCTGCTCACGTTCGAGGAGGAGGACGGTGAGAAGACAGGGGATGTTGTTTTTCTAGTGATATAAAGCTGATTTTTAACAGGGATGTTTGTTTAAATGTGATTTTAAAATGTTGCTTCCAGTGGCCATGAAAATTCTGGACATGAGGAAACATAAAGTGGATCTGGGAGGAGAGTGCAGCATCACGGTGGAAGCCCAGCCGGTCCACCTGATGATGCCCAGTCGGGTCGAGGTAAAACCTGCTCTCATGCCGAGGTAATAAAATCAGCCATTAGAGCGCAGCCTGCAGGTAACCCCACTCTGTCTCCGCTTAGATCGACACTGAGATCTGTCCTCAGCGGGTTTTAGTCTCCAACCTGCCCAAGATGGACACAGAGGCTCTGCAGAACAAACTGGAGATCCACTTCTCCAAATCTAAAAACGGAGGCGGCGAGGTGGAGACCTGCGAGTTCCTGCCAGACTCTGGGACGGTGGTCATCACGTTCGTGGAGAAAAACAGTGAGGAAGCATGAATGTTTTATACTTTTCTGACTTTACAGCTGCTTGGTGCAAAGAAATATCTATATTTTTTCTGAAATGGTTAAACTGAACGTCTTGAACTTTCAGTTGCAGAACGTTTGACGCAAACAGAACACCATGAAGTGAAGCTCGCCAAAAAGCACAAAGTGAGAGTGACTCCTTTCATAAACGGAAAGATCACACGCTTAGAGGTGAGAAAGTTTTAGAAAAACAATAAAAAGAAAATAAAGAAACCACACATTTGAAGCTGGTTTGCTTTAAATGTTTTCTCTCCCAGACCAAGACATGCATGTGCCCTCGCACCGTCCTGCTGACGGGAATACCCGACATCATGGAGCAGGAGACTCTGCAGGACATGCTGGAAATCCACTTCCAGAAAAATGGCAACGGTGGAGGGGAGATAGAAGCCTTCCTGTACAACCCGGTGGGTCAGCACACCTTGGCCTTGTTCGGAAGCACCTCCTCAGCGGATGAAGACGAGGAGTAGATCCAGCTGCTGCTCCTACAGAAAAGAACTGCTCACTTATTTGTTGTTTTGGGAATAATCGGAGTGGTGAAGGATTATTTAAAGGTGCCAAACTTCATGGATGAGGAAAAAAATGTTTGATTCCCAAACTTCTAGTTAAAATTAATGCTAACTATAAACTCATGCAAATGGTTGACTTATTCACATTGAATCTTTACATTTACTGACAATTACTGGTACCAGTGGTTCATGGAAAAAGGTTCCTTTCCCTGGTTACAATGATTTGAATTAAAAGTTAATACTTTAAGCAAACATATTTTACTGTGCTTAAATTGTATAATAAAAAGAATAATCAGGGAAATCTTTATTGCATCTTTATTCATCAACAGCAAATCAGTACAGATATTTCGCATCAACAAGGGTTTTAGTGGGTCATGGTCCCAGACGGAGCCGTCGTTCTGACACAATGACAAACTAGTACCGGTACTTAATGTGCTTTTAACTTTGTAAAAAGGAAACTGATTAAATAAAAGGGCTGATTTCCAATGTAGGACTCCTGCCTATGATAGAACCTTTGGTCATGACACCTATGTTGTGCTCTATAGCATGATGTGTGTTCCTACATTGAAAAAGACTACTACTTTCCCAGGATAACTGCCCTGACAGGCATAGTGAGCACATGTCATCCTGAAGCTTTTCTTTAGAAGAGTCCACCATGTTTGATAGAGCCTTAAATTGTATCTGCTGGAAGTGCCAAAAATCTGAAGTATTTGTAAATAAAGATAAAATTTGCCATTTGTTTTAGGAACATCAAAGCCCCATTTGAAGGATTTTAAGGAGAAAAAAAAAAATCAAAGGTAAAAAGTGGGTGATTTTAGATGCTAACAAAACCGTTTTTTTATACATGTCATCACATACATCATACCCTGACTAAGACTCTGCAGAAAGGCATTGACATTTTGTATTGTCTCAGTCTCTCTATTATGAATTTGTTAGCAGAGCTAACACAATAGCTTACCTATAGTTATAATACATTTAATTTTCTCACTATATAAGCTTCAGTTTTGCTAAACAGTAAAACATTTCCTTAAAGCTATTACTTATTGCTAGACGCTAAGGTTACCATGACCAAATTTAATTAAATGTATTTATAGCCCCAATTTACAACATTTCACCTGAAGGGACTTTACAGAGATGATTCAACCAGATCATACAGTCAGATTGGTTCAGTTTTCTATCTAAGGAAAATCAGCTGACTTGCATCGACTTGCAGGGTACCGGTACACTCCTCCCTGATGAGCATACCATGTCAGTAGATATTGTTGACTCTACAGCAATCCCTCACATGCAGCCAGCATGCATACATCAACAGTGAGGATAACTCTGTTTGAGCAGATGAGGTCTGAGCAAGTTTTCACTTAAAGAGACCACGTGGAGACAGAATTGGAGAATAGAGATAGAATGAAGCAGAATGCTGTAAAGTGGTCCCTATGTCCTCCAGCAGTCTAAGTCCATAGCAGCATAACTATAAATTTGGCTCAGGATAATTAGTTTCATTCATTATAGTTGTCGGACTTTCTGATATTGAATCGTAATAGTCCAGTCTTGAAATAAAAATACGTAGACTAGTTTCTCAGCATCACTCCTGGACAATATATTTCTAATTTTTGCAATATTCAAGAGGTAAAAGAATTAAGCCTGTTTAAAATTTAATTTGAATGACGTCTTGATCAAAACTAACAGCAAGTTTTTTTTTTTTTACTTTATTATCTAATAGCAATTTAATCCCATCCAGATGGAGTGACTGATTACTTATTTTTCAGAGACTCTGGTTTATGTCTTCAAGACATGCCTGTAGTCTATGTAATGGGTTACTTTAATCTGGATTTATAGACAGACATAGCTGTGTATCAACATAAAAGTGGAAATTAACCCCATGCTGTTTAACAATTCTACCAATTGGGAGAATATATAATAAAGAAAACTGGCCCTAGGACTGACTCCTGTGGCACTCCACAGGTACTGGGGCATGGAGAATGTATAAGATAAATGATTTAAACCAGCCTGGTGCAGTTCACTTAATTCCTGCAAAATATTCAAGTCTTTCTAAAGAATATTATGATCAACTGTATCAAATGCAGCACTGAGGTCTAACAGGACGAGCACAGATACAAGTCCATTATCTGAGGCCATGAGAATATCATTAGTGACTTTCACCAGAGCTGTTTCAGTGCTATGATGAGCTCTAAAGCCAGACTGAAACTCTTCAAAAAGTTCATTATGGTGTAAATAATCGCACACTTGTTTGGCAACTACTTTCTCAAGAATTTTAGATAAGAAAGGAAGATTGGATATAGGTCTATAATTCACCAAGTCATCTGGGTCAAGAGACGGTTTATTTACATCTACGGTAACTTAAAAGCATGAGGTACATATAATCACATCTAAAACGGAGGAGGAGATCAAAGGAAATACTTTCCTAACATACAAGTTGAAGGCTTAAATGAAGATAATAGTTTTCCTAAATCTGAAAGTTCAACTGGATTAAAACCGTCTAAACCCGGTTCAGATTCTATAGTTACCTCAGATGCATCTTATGAAACAGCTTGGGTATAAATTCTTTGTCCTTTTCCTGGTAATGTTAAAGTTTAGTTTTTAGTCTATTTGTTTCCACGGTGGCATTAAATGAACACTCCATGCTACAATTCAAAGCCGCTATCAGGTAGCTGCTGTTGCATCAAACAGTGCAGGAGGACATTTTTTTTGTGTACATGTACTGAGCTGATAGGATCCTACGGAAGAGGATTAGGGTCACTGAAAAAAAACAAAAGTTAACTGATTTTTAAATTTTATTTCAGTTTAACATGGGAATAAATTCAGAATTCTGACCTTTTTTTCTCAGAATTTTGGATCTTAATGTAGATGAAGGAAGAGATGTGGGAGCACTCAGCTTCACTCATTAATGGAGGAGCAGAAGGTCATTAAAACAAGAGAGCTAGTCTCTAAAACAGACATGGCTATGGCTTGATGCTAACATGTTTGTTAGCTGTCAGAATTCTGAGAAAAAAGTCAGAATTCTGAGATTAAAGTCAAAATTCCGAGATTAAACTCAGAATTCTGTATTTTTTCCCATATTAAACTGAAATAAAATTTAAAAATCAATAAACTTTTTTTTTCAGTGGCCCTAATCCTCTTCCGTATGATCCTTAACAGGCTCTTGTATAAAATGTACAAAACAGAGAGAAGGATATTTATGAATCGTTTTAATCAACTTGAACTTGAGGAATCTTAATTTAGCGGAAGCTAATATGTCTGCAAACAGTCCAACAGGAGGTTGGTCTGATTCTATTTTTAAAGTCTGGATCAGAGGCAAGATTACTGAAAACTCTTACGTTTTCTAAACCTCTCAGTGAAGTTCAGAGTTTTTAGTTTCATAGAGTTTACTCAACCTCTGTTTCTGTAGTAACATTCTCCTCAGAACTATCCTGGTCATGAGCATGTTTTCTTCAATAAACTCAGTGTCGTCTGCCTCTGCCGCCTTAAGGCAATCCTGTTGCTTTTCCTGATTTAGTCGGGGGAGTTCTGCTTTTGTTTTGTGCAAAAAACAAACAAAATCATTTACTCTGTCATTAGACACACAAGGTTTCAGAAGCACAAGCCTAGCACGTCCTTTTGATGAGGATCCCATTAAAGAATAAGCGAAATTAATTGAGAGAATTAAATATTTATAAGGAGAGGGTCTTGAGGCTGCATATAGATGTCCTTTATATTCATAATATATGAGAACTACACATACATCCACGACATCATCGCCCTCATATTTGCAGCATTGACTTCTTTTACAGGTATTTGATGAAAAAACATAGAGGTGTGATAGCAGAATCGTACAAAACAACTGCACAGTCAAACAACCACTTAGTTTGACTAAGGATCAAAATGAGGAACCCCATGAGATGATGCACAGGTCCTACCTGTTTGAACAACTTTAAACTTTTAAATCTTCAGCTGCTGATATGTGATTGCACCTAAATAGAATAAATCTACTCAGATTGATGGGCAGCTCCTTTAGTCATCACTGATTTCTTTCTATTAGTTAAACATGGTGCACGTTGAAAGTGTGCAACTGGGAGCCCTTGGTCATTGCTTAAAGGAAACTTTTTTTTTAAAGAAAGAAAACAAAAAGACAAGCATTAAAACCTAAAATAAAAATTTACTGTAAAAACCGAATAAAAGTAACAGCACGTTGAAAAGAAATCTAAAAATGACTCGTTTACAGCTACAATGTGTAGAGAGTAAACACAAGAAGTAGGGGCTAACCGGAGGCGGTCAGGCACTTGGAAGAGAAGGACACGGGTATAGGCTGTGCACAAATACAGTACATTCAGAAAGAGGAGAAAAACCGTTAAAGGAGAATACAGCAAGATGTCGGTGACATTTTGGAAGACAGCTGGCCAAATTTCACATCAACAACAAGGATACAATAATTTACATTGCTCTCATAAAAACACAAACTAGTTCAGGAGTAACAGTCAGCGTTTAGTTCTCTTCTGCATCTTTGCTTTCTACCACTTGTGCTTGGATCAGTGAGTGCACAACAGTAACAGGAAATACTCACACAGGTGTAACAGCTAAAAAGTTGTTCTACAGTGAACTAATAGTGCAAACTGCAGAGAGGCTGATCTACACACTCATTATATGTAGCTGCTTTTTAAAATAACACAAATGTGTCAGTTTGTGCTGACAAGTATGATCACAATGGATGTTTGTTCAGCTAAAATTACTTATGGAGCTTTCTTATTCTAAAACGTTAAATGAAATAGTTGTATTCTGCTATTTTTTGTCCTCTTGGTGCTTTCCAGAACCGTTACATTCAAACCTCCAACCGTTTTCCTTTGAGGGGGTCCGTAATAAAAGTAGGGAGGGGAAAAGAGCCCGGGAAGACAGACAGGGACACCCATCCGTCCCCTCAGGCTGGTAGAGTTTAGGAGGAGTGCATTAGTGGGCCGCTGGTCATTCGAACTGGAATCACAGGACTTCAAAACCGTGTGCAAAGATAGCTGCTTAGGCAACCACTGGCGCCCATTCGCTTGGTTTCCGTCCGTACTGGGTGGAGCAAAGAAAAAAGGAGGAGAAAAAGAAAACAAGCCGATGAATATTTATTTAATTAGCACTGAAAAGGTTAAAGAAATTTATATTTAAAACCAAAAATTTATCCAATCAAAAGTGTTCTATGGCCACACATGTCGCTCCTAACTGGCTTGGCTGTGCTGGTTGCTGGGAGACCAGAGGAAGTTGAAAAGGTTAAATGAGTGCGCTGGAGGAAAGCATTCTGTTTGGAGCTCATTTAATGTATTTAGGGACTAATTTACAAAGATTTCACATAAGAGGGGTAAATTAAAGGCATCTTTTCTGCTGTGCAATAAGTTGGCGTATTCTTGGTGATCTACAAAGATGGCTGCACAAATGTTATGACCTGCAAACCAGATTGTATTTAAGGGGGCAGGCTGTTCACCAAGCAGTTTGAGAGTGGCGGTAAAAGGCAGATTACCGGTAGGTTCAAAGCTATGGAGATGGAGGCAATAGTGATGATTATAAAAAAAAAAATTGTGAGTACTAACTGATATTTATAGTGCACCTCATAGGTGCACTATAGGTAGGTAGCCTACCTCAGAGTGCTGCCATGCTTCATATAGTGTTATGTTTTATACAATAATGGAGAAAATAAAATATGATTTAGAGATGTGTGCTTTCATATAGCCTCCAATTTCTCTTTGTAGACTTTTTTTTTTTTTTTTTAACAACATGTTCAGTCATTTGTTTAGTTTTGGTTTAGTTGTATAAAGATTCTCTGCTCATCTCACTGCATTATTTGGTGGCAACCAGTGTAAATTTTATTTCTTGCACACAGAATCTCTCCATCCTCTGTAATTGTACCAACAATGACTTTGTTTAATGCTTCCTGTCAGTTGCACCTGAGTTTCAAACTACTAAAAAAGATGCAATAGCTGCACCTGCAGTTTATTATTAGAAATGGAAAATTTGCACAGTTTGGTTATTAGAATATGATCTGAATATTGATTCAAACACACCCGAAAAACACACTTTGTTTAAAAAAAAAAAGAAAAAAAAGGGCAGTTTGTGCTCCTGGAAAGATATATTCTGTTTAAACAAACACGCTTGTAACTATTTTAAGATGCACAAACCTTCTGAAGGCCTTCAAAATCAGATGTCAATGATGAAATTAACAAAATCCATACAAATAATCTAGCTGACTTTTTTTAATTTATTTGCATAAAAATGTGCTTTGAAAAAAAAAAGAAGAAATAAAAAAACAGCTTTGAAAATCAATATTTTTTCTCTTTTGTTTTTACTCCTTACCTAATTAAACAGTTTTACTTACAGGTTGAATTAGTGGGTTGTAAAACGTGGAGACACAGGCGACAGCAGGATGATCTTACCTGAATATCAGTAAGCTCCTTGAAGAATCTCTTTGCAAGATCTGGACCGTTCTGCATGGTGGGGATCTGATAAGTCTGAAAGAAGGAAAACAATTCCAGTCATCAGGATACAAAGAAATACGGAAGAGGATTAGGGCCACAAAAAAAAAAAAGAAAAGTTAACTGATATTTAAATTTTATTTCAGTTTAGTATGGAAAAAAGTCAGAATTCTGAAATTAAAGTCAGAATTCTGAGATTAAAATCAGAATTCTGAGAAAAAAGTCAGAATTCTGAGAAAAAAAGTCAGAATTCTGAGTCCATACTAAACTGAAATAAAATTTAAAAATCAGTTAACTTTTTTTTTTCCAGTGGCCCTAATCCTCTTCCGTGAAGAAAAAATTAAAAAAGATCAAAAGCATAAAAACATGACAGCTCCTCCACTGTACTTCACAGTTTCACATCAGATCAAAACTAGTGTGTTTGTGCTAATACAAATCCCAATCCATTATGTTAACCAAAGAGATAATTGCAAAAAAAACTTAAAATATTGCTCTTACAGTGGATGTGGACAAATTTAATCCAGAAGCCATTTTCTGACTGAACCATAAGCAAACATTTAGTTTATTTAACTGCAATATTCTCTTGTCTTTTGCTTTTCCCAGTAAGGAGTGAGCTTTCTCTGTCACTTCATGTGTTTATTTACATTGAATTCTCAGCAAGAGATAGAAACGAAACCAAAGCTCATACCTTTCCTTTGTAGAGGAGGCTTCCAACGGGACAAACAACGCAGGCTGTTCCGGCTCCAAACACCTCCAGGACCCTCCCGGCATCTAAAGCCTCGAGGATCTCCTTCATCCCCATCGTTCGCTCCGTCACTTTAAACTCGCCCTGAGAGAGATGACATAAAAATGGATAAATCTCCGGTTTCTCCACCCTGTTCATTGAAGTTGCTGAAATGCTCAAATTTCAAATGGACTCCAATCCTCACCCAGGCTCTGCCCAGATCCAACAGAGACTGTCGGGTCACTCCTGGGAGGATGATGCCGTCCAGAGGAGGAGTCACGAGCTCTTTCTCTGCAGACACACAAACACAGAAATCAAATCAGCTGATGGATTTCCAGCACCAACATTTAACAAACCCGACAGAGAGGAAGAAAAAAGGAACTCACCTCCTTTTGCGTTGGTCCAGTAGACGAAGAGGTTCATGGTGCCAACCTCTGTAATCTCCTCCTCCTCTCCGTAAAGCCAAAGGACCTGCTGACAGCCCTTCTTCATCGCCTCGTTCTGCACGGCAATGGTCGGCCCGTAATTACTGCACAGAGTGAAAATCAGCTTAAAGATACTCATCTCAATCTTCCACTTGAACGACCGACACAGTTATTTTTCAGGACGATTATTCTGACATCAGTCTAACTGATCCCAGACGTGTGCTTCCCTTTTTTCACATGATAAGAACAGAAGCCTTCACTAATAAATCAAAAAACAGTTGATAGCGAATGGAGGGAGCAGAGCTTGAATCCACTGATGAATCTGAACACATGCAAAATGCTGATATCACCCCATAATACAGCCTGGCTGATGTTGTCTCTAACCCACTGAAAGGGTTTCTAATAAGAAAACATTTGCAGAAAGATGAAGGTACTTCTTAAGCATGAGGTAATAGTGACACCCAGTGTTTGAAATTGGAACTACGGTACTCACAAAACGCTCCCTCTTTCCTCCCTTTGGAGCGTACAAGCAGGGAAGCTAAATTCCAGATGATGATTGAAAATAATTCAGGCACAGA